CAAAAAAATGCTTTTTTTTTACCAAAATTAAAAAAAAAAAAAAAAAATTTTAAGGATATTTTTCAGTTAGAATTTTACTGCTGTGTTATGTTTGCTTACGGCGATGATACCGTCAAGAGTGTAATATCGACCCCCGCGATGCAAGAAGCGTCACCTGTGCTCCATGCAGGAGGCGAGCGGATCCACGCAGGCGGTGACGGCGCCAATGATGAACCGGACCCGGACAGCAGAGTCCGGGTGTTGAAGCACGGCCTGGACAACGTCCAGAACATCCGTGTATCTGTGAGGAGTCAAAATCCTCAAGTCACAAACTTCTTGTGTTTGAAAATCGAAAGGAAAGGAAGTCGTTTTCTTACCCGGGTGAGAGGACCAGGAGGCGCACCTTTCCTGCCGTCCTCCTCTTCTGGTTTGCGGAGACGTCGGACAAAAAATCCTGCAGGTGGGAGGCCGAGAAGGCGCCATCGCAGGCGTCCGCAGCGGGAGGATACACCAACCATCTGCGGGCAACAGCAAGCATCTTTTTTCTGGGGCGGGGTCTTTTACGGGGCACACCAAAACATGCAACCAGTCGTTCGCCTCACATCAAGCTAAAAATGTTGCCGTATGAAAAAATGTGTTTATAATAATAATAATAATAATAATAATAATAATACATTTGATTGGTAATGCACTTTACATTTCAGGGAAATCTCAAAGTGCTTAGAAGGTTATATGGTGAACTTTGGACTGTCGAGGGGGTGTTTTCCCACCTTCCGTACTCTTTGTTGAGGCGCACCAGGAAGTGGCAGAGTGTCTCCTTGTGGCTTCCTGGCAGGCCGCTAATGACCGTGACGACAACCTTTGACACACACGCACGCGCAGCCGTGCAGGGGGAAAAAAAAAAACACCAGGTCAGCGTCAAACTGCAGCAGATTGTCAGCTTGTCTGAGCCCACCTTGTCCCCCATGTTGGCCGAGCCCACGCTCAGTTCTGCGGAGGGGAAGAGCGCCCCCAAGTGGTCGGACAGTATGGGCGCCTCGCCGATGCTACTCAGGGAAAAATGCTGCAGAAACCTGCCGAGGCGCGGCACGACCATCAAATGGGCCATGATCAATTCCTAAACAATAGTTTGATGATTTGAACGCATACGGTGTGAGTGAGTACTAACACGTCTTGCTCTGGGAGGTGCGACTGCAACGTGCTCAATGTGCCTCTGCGTTTGGCCACCGGAGGCTCCTGACCGTCGTGCCGCTGCTGCAGCCTGCTGTGCCTGTATGACAAGAATACCATTTTAGATGTGGACAATATACCCGCTCAGAATATATTTCATGAAGCGCAATCCATTTCTCGACGCGTGTGCCGGGATCAAAGATCTACCGTCCTAACCCAACAACAAAAAGTTTGAAGCAAACAGAAAAAATAACTTGATACTGCCATTTTTCCAGTGCAAAGCGCATTCTTGTCTAAAAATGTCCATTCGAAGATGGCACAAAACTGCTGAACAGCAAACCAACATTAAGTGCAAGAATTCATTTTTTTTTAGCCCCCACAAAACTCAACTCACTCAAAATGTTAATATTATCAAGGTACTGCATCATTCCAACGACGCAAAAATGATTAGGCCGACTTACGTTGTAGTATAGGCCTGGGTGGAAGTGCAAATTCTGCCATCAAGTGGTGAATGGGGATATTACAATGTAAAACCAAAGTCGATGCACATTTGCAGTTCAGCACCTGCAAATTAGCATTTTTGTGGATTACATTTTGAAAAATATTTCTGGTTTTATTTTTCAGTTTTTTATTTTACGGTATGAAGGTTTAGCAGTGTTTTTTGAAGAATTTGGGGAGTTTACAAAAAATAAATTCATTCATTTATTGATTAGACAAACAAATACATTTAGAAGTTTTTTTTTTTTTTTTAAATCGCTCAAAAATGTTATTTTCTAAACTGAATCAGGGGCCCACTCAAGAGCGGAGACAGGCGGCCTCATGTGGCCCGTCAGTTGCCCATCCCTGACTTTATTTTCCAGTGCAAAGCGCATTCTTGTCTAAAAATGTCCATTCGAAGATGGCACAAAACTGCTGAACAGCAAACCAACATTATTCGAGGATGGCACAAAACTGCTGGACAGCAAACCAACATTAAGTGCAAGAATTCATTTTTTTTAGCCGCCACAAAAATCAACTCACTCAAAATGTTAATATTATCTAGCCCCCACAAAACTCAACTCACTCAAAATGTTAATATTATCAAGGTACTGCATCATTCCAACGACGCAAAAATGATTACGAGGTACTGCATCATTCCAACGACGCAAAAATGATTAGGCCGACTTACGTTGTAGTATAGGCCTGGGTGGAAGTGCAAATTCTGCCATCAAGTGGTGAATGGGGATATTACAATGTAAAACCAAAGTCGATGCACATTTGCAGTTCAGCACCTGCAAATTAGCATTTTTGTGGATTACATTTTGAAAAATATTTCTGGTTTTATTTTTCAGTTTTTTATTTTACGGTATGAAGGTTTAGCAGTGTTTTTTGAAGAATTTGGGGAGTTTACAAAAAATAAATTCATTCATTTATTGATTAGACAAACAAATACATTTAGAAGTTTTTTTTTTTTTTTTAAATCGCTCAAAAATGTTATTTTCTAAACTGAATCAGGGGCCCACTCAAGAGCGGAGACAGGCGGCCTCATGTGGCCCGTCAGTTGCCCATCCCTGACCGAGATGATACTGACCAGGATCAGAGCTCTGAAACTGAAGATGATTACAGGACCTCGTCATATCTCGTCATTCTCAAAAACAACCATAATTTGTGAACAAACGAGTCATCAGAAGAAGTCATCATATCACCAAGCAATCAACGCCCCCCCTTCAGATTTTTTTGCAGCGAGAAAAAAACTTTGTTTTGTTTTTTTATGGTATGAATGTTTAGCAGCGTTTTCTGAAGAATTTGGGGAGTTTACAAAAAATAAATTAATTCATTCATTGATTAGACAAACAAATAAATTTAGAAATCTATATTTTTTAATCGCTCAAAAATGTTATTTTATTTTTTCAACTGAATCAGGGGCCCACTCAAGAGCGGAGTCGGGCGGCCTCATGTGGCCCGTCAGTTGCCCATCCCTGACCGAGATGCTACTGACCAGGATCCGAGCTCTGAAACTGAAGATGATGACAGGACCTCGTCATATCTCATCATTCTCAAAAACAACCATCATTTGTGAACAAACAAGTCATCAGAAGAAGTAATCATATCACCAAGCAATCAACGCCCCCCTTCAGATTTTTTTGCAGCGAGAAAAAAACTTTCATCAGGAAAATCCCACGGAGGATTGTCTCACCCGTTCAGAAAACGGTGACAATCTTTACAGGCAGATGAAAAATGACTTCATGCTCCAAATCTTACATGTTTTTGTGGTGCCACGTCAGCTGATCCTGGTCCACCAAGCGCAGAGCGAGCCCACTTTCAGCCCTTTGCCACACCGGCAAAACCTGCGGAGGGGTCAAATTCAGTTTTTCATCATTGCAGAGTCCTTGTCAAGGATCCCCGGTGAGGGTCTGACCTTGGAATAGAAGCCCCGGTAGCTTTTGGACCTGGGCCGCAGGGCGAAGACCAGGCAATGGTCTTCGCTGTGGAGGGGGAAGGGCAAGTGGGGCAGCAGTGCGCTCTCGTAGTCCACAAAGAGCGACGCGACACCGTCGGGGTCCTGTCCGAACGGCAAACATTTTAAGATGGTCTCGAACGACGAAGAAGAACGAGGCGGCGTACCGGATCGTAGAACGCCAGGGCGGCGATGTGTTCCTGGGAGAGAGCGATGCTTCCGTATTGCGAGTGGACAAACAGAAGCCCCCCGGAGAAGAAGGCCATCTTGCCTGAAATCAACATTGATCATCAAGTCGGCCGGGATTACAAAATGTCCGCCGCTTGCCGCGCTTACCATCTTCGGGCGCCGAGAGGTGGCTGCCGGATATCACGTACGCGTCATCGGCGTTGGTCAGAGCGCGACCCAAGCAGGAGTCTTCCTCATTCTGTTCACAGAGGACATCGAGACGCCACCTAATGATTGCTCCGTTTTCAACGAGGGGAAGAACTTTCCTGTTCATTGTCTGCCCGAGTCAAACGAACTTCTTGTATGGCTGCATTCGAAATGGATTGTCATTGCGGTATGTAGCGAAATCACCTTTGTGAATTGCTGGGCCAGCTCGGACTGCTTGACATCAGATTCCATCTGCGGCAAAAACAACAGCCAAACAGTTCTGCGCCGGTAAATGATTTTTAAAGAAAAAGAAAAGAAAAAAAAAAAATTTCTGTGCTGGTAAATGATTTTTAAAGAAAAAAAAGAAAAAAAAAAAAACGCATAAGCACATTTCCAACAGGAAATGATGTACCATCCAGCAGGCGTAGCGAGGCACGGTGGCGGTCAGGACGGTGTAGCAGCTGTCTGCTGTCACGGCGCCATCTCCAAGAGAAACCGAACAGAAAATCCATTCAAACCAAAGAATTCACATTTCTGTCGAAATAGCGCGCGACTGCCGAAAAGTGAATGCCAGACTGAGATGCGGCAGTAGTGATTGAAAAGGTGAAACACAGAAAAAGCCAATAGCCCGAATCCGTTCCGAAATGCAGGAGGAGGTCATTTTTGAGAATGGTGAATTGTGGGGGAACAACTTCAACCTTTGTGTTGAATGCTAATGCTGGAGTCGAGGAACGCTTCGGAGAAGACCACGGAGCCCAGGGTGCCCCCGTGACCCCGCGGATCCGGCACGTCCCGGACAGTCATGGAAGCCTCACAAAAAAGGGGAGAAATCAATGAGATGGGGAATAACCGCCGGTAACGAGCAGAGACAAAATACTTACTGTCTTGACGACAAAGCGGCTCGCGGTATCGGTCAGCGGAAGGAGCCTGAATAGATCAAAAAAACAACGTTCGGCTTGTGTGTCATATTAAGGCGGAAGCTAATTGGGTGGCGGACACTCACCTTCCCTGCTTATCAGCTGCTTGAATGTTGAATTCACATTTGGACCTGAGCGAACACACAAAGACAAATTACACACAAGATGTTTCATTTTTGAAAGGGTTTTAAAAAATATTTTTTGCGGGGAGTAACAAGCAACCTGAGAATACTGCGGTATGCGCTTAAATTCAACGAGTCCAACGATGCCAGGAAGGTGTGCTCTGCGACGTCTTTCGCCTGTGAAGATGGCCGCATTAAAGCGAGTAAGCGTGAACGGGGGCGATGGGATCGCTTACCTTGGTGGCACTGGACGTGCCGGAGAAGCATTTAATTGCTCCGAGAACGGCTTGAACGGCCGCCGAGTACACGCGAGACAAGAACCTGGGCGGTGACGCAAAAATGAGTTTTCCTTTTGCTCAAAAACACACAAAAGTCTACGACAACACTTACAAGACTTCACTTTTGTGCGCCTTTGGATGTTGACTCCCTGTGAATGAAATGACGAGACTTTAATACACAAAAACAGCGTTCAAAACATGCATTCTGGGGACATCGAATGTGAAAGTGACTTTTGATGTGCTGGTCTACAATGTCGTTGGGTCTCTGGAGTGCCTGCCCAACTGTCAAGTGTGAAACAAAACAGCCAAGTAAATACTTTGCAAGCTGCGGTTTTTCCAAAAAAAAAAAATGTGGCTGTGAGGAAACAATTCGGAATTTTGCAAGTTGTTTTGGCAAAATTGGACTAATTTACAGACCATAATCCCACCCCGAGACCTATGGCTTGGCAGCTCGGCTGGGTGAAGAGGTACCAAGTGCTGGCTCCCTGAATGAAAGTGATTTGATCATCCACCTGTTGGCAACGCTTTAAATCTGCCCTCAGTCGTCAAGGTAACGGCAAGCTCTAATCACGGTTGGGTCAGCCGTATATTAAATTGGGTTTTCAGTCACTGATTTTGCACGGGACAGAACTGCCCCCTCAAAACTGGCTAATTCAAAGTCTCAACAATACATTATGAAGACACCTTGGAAGAAAAAAAATGTAAAAAGCACAATATGTATCCTTTCCTCACCAAGGAAGGGGGTGTGCGTGGTTCCAAAGAAATAGGTCCGAGAGCAGGCCAAGTGTCCTCGGGCAGCAGCGCACTGCAAAATCTGTGGGTAACAAACGACGAAAAATCAAATCTGGTTCCAAATGAAAACGTGTGTGTGGCAACGTTCGAGTGCTGTTCCTGAGGACGTCACTGGGCGGCGCTGCAGGGCACTTGTTGACTGTGCTTCCTACCATGTGACTTGCCAGGGAGCCTCCAGGTCCCGTGTTGCCGACTTGGTGACTCTCCGAAGCAAAGTTGAAGGAGTAGCTGTCCATGTCCTCTGAGGACGAGTGCGCACCAAACAACACCAGGGGCTGACGATCTTTACTGAAATCACAACCATTTTTTTTTTTTGGGTTTCTTTTTTAAAGGACCAAATACCATAACACAAGGGTGTCAAACTCATTTTTGTCGCAGGCCACTTTGGAGTGACGTCTTCCCTCTGAGGGCCGTCACGACAGTGAAACCGGATAAATGATTACGGAATCATGTCATGGCATTATTACTTGGACACAAACAAATTGATGGATTACTAGTTTACTCAAGTCAATTATCTGTTTGTGCAATTAGGTTGAAAGGTTCCTTTTTTTCCCCCAGACAATGCTCTCTTTTGGTGACGAGAAAAACTCTTACTGAGTTGACATTTTCGGCTGTCATGTCAACCTTCGCCAAACCCGTCATTGAAACAAAAAAAAAACAGCTATTTTCTTGTTGTTTGTTGGATTATTATTCAAGTGAGTGTAAACAGGGTAGCAAAATGATTGCAAAATGTCAACGTTATTTATCACACCTTCACAATTTGACATTTAGGCACAGACTTTAGCAAGGATCATGGAAGCTGACACATGAATTGCTTTGGCGGGCCACATCAAATGATGTGGCGGGCCGGATCTGGCACCCGGGGCCTTGACTTTTGACACCTGTGCCATAACAATATTGTTTTACGACTTACCTGTTGTCTGCGAGGTTGCTCGCGATCAGCCCATGGGAGAAATACGTGCGGAAGGCCTGTACGGATACGATACTTTTATTTTAAGGAACAACGCACATTGGGAGAGAATCAGTTGTTGTTTTTGTTTGCAGACTTTAGCAAGGATCATGGAAGCTGACACATGAATTGCTTTGGCGGGCCACATCAAATGATGTGGCGGGCCGGATCTGGCACCCGGGGCCTTGACTTTGACACCTGTGCCATAACAATATTGTTTTACGACTTACCTGTTGTCTGCGAGGTTGCTCGCGATCAGCCCATGGGAGAAATACGTGCGGAAGGCCTGTACGGATACGATACTTTTATTTTAAGGAACAACGCACATTGGGAGAGAATCAGTTGTTGTTTTTGTTTGTTTTTAAAAAAGCATACCTCTCCAGCCTCAGCCTCGGACAGCTCCAGGATGGACAGGTGGCTCTCCAGCTCCATGCGGGAGAAGAAGCCACTCCACTGCCTCTCAAAGCTTCTCAAATCCTGAAAGAGGGAACAGAATGGGAGTCCGTATGGCCCTAACGATTGAACTTCACATCCATTGTTTGAAGTTTCCCAAGCTCCCACGCGAATGTAAGCTTGCTGACAGGGCGGACATTTTTACGCTAATGTTAGCAATTGAAGAGGCCATGGTGGGCCTTCCCCGAGCAGCTCAGCTAGCAAGATGACCGCGTACCGTTTCACAAATATATTTTCTGGGGTGTCTGAAAGGGTCGCGGCATCAAGCGATATTTCACGATGACAGAGTGGACATATTCAGCTGGACAAGATCCAACTGCAGGCATAGGATGAAAATTACAAAACATATTTCTGCGGTTGTTTCAGCCTCCATTGGAGGAAGACAAAATGCTGTGGTGATGTCACTGAAAAAAATAATTCGGGGCTTCTCAAAGGGCCACCTGCCCTATAATGACAGAGTGGACAACAATTTCAGGGGCGCATGCAAGAGGTTCAATGTGATGATGAAGGGTAGAAAATACTGGGTCAAAACGACTCGCTGAATCATCGAAATAAATCAATCGTGAAAAATGTTTTGATTTAGTATTGTTACAAAGAGCGTAGTTAGCGCAGCATGGTTGTGCAACCAAAAAAATCTTAACATTGTAGTCATACATAGGTTTTAAGAGCTCAGAGGACGAATAAACAAATAGAATCATTTTCCTCGGAATGAAAGACAACGGCAGTACGAGTAAAGCCAAAGCGTCACCTCGGCCAAGAGTCGGTCCAGGGACACGGAGTCCAGTCTGCTGTAAAGCCGCCACAGTCGCTCACTCATGTCCGACAACTGGCAAAAGGGGAAATTCGCCAGTGAGCGGGGGCAGGCGGCACAGCGAGCCAATGAGACATTCTTTGAAAAGCACGGCTCACCTTGTATTTCATGGTGAAAAAGCTTCCGCCGCCAATGCCCTCCAGGGCGTAAGCTTGGATGAGGGGCCACTTTTCCACCGTGAAAATGTCAAACTTTTGCACGTGGCCTGAAAGTAACGTAAAAGAGGGGGGGGGGGTCACGGAAGCTTGATTTGACCGAGGAAAATGTCGGTGAGCAGGCGAAACGTCATCAAAGCGTCTGTACCCAGGGAGCTGTAGGGCACACCGATACGATGGCAGTCCTGCACCATGGTGACAAAACTGGAGATCTTGAACTCCTCCGCCGCCTCTTCGTCTTCATACTGCGTGAGGAGCACACGCACGGGTGAGCGAGACGCTGAAGAATAAACAACTGACACATCTTTGTTGAATGGTCAAACCTCAGCTTCGGTCATGCAGTGGAGGTGCAGGTTCCTCCAGTGGGAGACGTACGGTAGCAGGTAGCCTAAATTGAGCGGGTTGCAGTAGAGGTGAACGCACTCGGCCTTGATTAGAAGGATCACGTCTGGAATGAAAACCAACAGCACGCGTTCACAAAATGAGTTGGAGTAGGGGGGGTGGGTATGACTTGAGAAACTCACCGTCCAGCATATCCTCTGGACACGCGTCCAAGGGATGCTCCACGTTGATGGGACTTCTTCCATAGAGTCCGTAGAAGAGGTATTTAGCCAGCTCCGCGCAGCCTTCGTTGTACCTGCTGTCGATTCCTGATGACAAACGTTCATCAAGCATACACATGGAGCGATCCTTGCAACACAATAACGATGGGACTTTTTTCCCCCCTACCGAGAGAACACAGGATTCCATCACGACTCAAAGTATCATCGACGCCGAGCAGAGACTGAACCTGGCGCAGGCGGCAGCAACTGCATGAAAAGGAATCGTCACCTTGTAGAAGTCATATGGAGGCATTTTACAAACGTTTCAATGCTCTTCTGTAGCTTATACAGCGCCAGTCAAAAGCTCATTCCGGTACGATCATGGGTGAGATTGGCCGATACCAATTCTGAGACCGATCACATGGATTAGCGGCAATTTTTAGAGCCGCTCGTGAACAATTATTTCTTTCAATCAATTAATGAATGACACTAAAGGTGCAGTGTGTAGAATTCAGGGGCCATCTAGTGTTGAACTAACAGAATCCAATGACCTAAGATCGAACACGTTGGTGCCTCAGAGAGACTGCACCTGGCAAGCCTCCCAACAACTTCTTCAGCAGAGGTGCAAGCAAAATGTCAAAATCGCAAACAACTGTCCTGAAAGTGACTGAGTAAATTCATGGGTAACAGTCTAAAAAGACAGTCTTTAAAAAACATTTTAAGTTTTAAAAAATGTTTGAAAAAAACGCCAATCCACCCAAACAAAGCACGTTCATTAATACTGCATACTACATATTTATTATAGCACTCTTGTTTGTATCTTTTTTGACAGCAGAAAATTCACCCGTTGCCATTAAATTGATGCTTTTTTTGTTGTTGTTGTTTATGTTTCGCTATCCCGAGTAACGACTGCTGAAGTCGTAAATTAACCCGACAGCGAATCGTGCCTCCTTCCTTTTCTGGTTCGAACGTGAGCCAAGCGTAAATGACGGAGCTAAAGCCATTTGTGACGTTTCTTGGCACTGCGAAATCGAACCCTTGACAGGCCGGCTAGCGACCGCTAGCAACGCCGCACAGGTTTTATCTACGATGGAAGTCCAACGCTACCTGACGGCCGGGTTGACTCCCGAATATTTGCCGGTTGCTCGTCGTATCCCGGCCATGGTTTTGTTGCCGTCGCAGTGAGACGTTTTTATATCGTCAAAAGCGGTGCGCCGGCGGCATTTTTCTCCATCACCAAAGAGAACGTCTACAATACACTTAGCATAGCAACGGAGCGAACCAATGAACCATTGGACAGCGACAGGGAGGGACAAAAATATCTAGGGCAACGTTTACGATATTTTCCGTCGGTTATTGTTACTTTTGAAAATGTAATATGTTGTATGATTTTTTTTTTACCCCCTAAATATCTCAAAAAGGATGAGTATATCTAAATTTGGCAGATAGTTGTTCCCCCCGTGCTTCAGAGCTGTGGTCGTGCCATGTTTTGGGTCATTTTGACAGCATCACTGTGATGATGGCGCAATCTCTGCGCCATATCAGGTTTTTTTTTTCTTTGAGGAATTTCATTTTTCAAATACTTCAAGCCATATAGGAAACTGGCGTGAGCACCGCTTAATTTGGCTTCTCTGTGTGCGGTATATTTTAAATTGTGGCAACTCGTGTATTACATGCATCAAGTATTATAAATTGGCCAATAAGAGTGGAGACGTCAAGCACAAAATGCTCACCGGTCAAAGTATTAGACAGAGAAACGTGGGGAAAGTTTTCCCACTTGTTAATAAAGTTTTGTCAAAACAACACAATCGTGGTGACACAGTTGTCAAATTTGTAATACAACTGAATATTAGCTCAGCTCTTCTTTTTTCAACAGCCTAATGTTTCTCCCCTTCACTTGAAGGAATAACACATGGAAACACAGTCACCCAGGAAACAATGGCGTGGTCGCACTCCAATGTCAGCTGGTAAGCAACAGGCAAGGGATTGATATGCTTACACACACACACACACACACACACACACACACACACACACACACACACACACACACACACACACACACACACAAATGCTGGGTTGTTTTCCGAACCCATTGGGTGCATATATTTGGTTTTTGAGCAGAATGGTACATTTTACCCATGGTTGGGTTAGTTATTGTGACCATGCGAATTAGTCACCACTTTGCAGGTTTGTGTACTGAACTTAAAGTCGATTTAATGGAACTTTTTAAAACTTGGTGGTGGCTGGGTGGCTCACTGGGTAACAACTTATTTCAATTACTATGTGAAATCATGGGAACCCCCGCCAAACGCACTTCACCACATTTTTCTGTGAAGTTGGTGCATGTAAGGAACAGCAAAACGGTACTTTTGATCCGTATCTGCTGCATTCCACTCGATACAGGAATGCACTTCCTTGATGAGAAGGAAAAAAAAAAACATGTTGTGAGGGAATACATTCAGCATGTTGTTGCAGAGCCGGAGGATCCAGTCCAATCGCTCGCTTTGATTCGGCCAGACGACAAGCTTCTGAAACCGGCGCCTGCAAGAGTCATGTCCTTCAGTAAGGGTACTTTTCATACCTATAAACATCATCTGCTCTGTTGGAATTTGTTGTTCTTCAGATGTTTGGTTCTCCTTGCAGACGGTGACGTTGACACCAGGCGAGCCATGGTGGTCCTCTCCACGGACGACGACTGGTCCACCCTGGTGTCTCTGCTGAGGGAGAGTGTGATGGACAAAGCGCTATCACAGGGATCCAAGCGAGTCGACTTGGAATTTGTTCTGGACAACCGCTTGGTCAGCTTGCACCGCGCCGACATCCCACCAGATGCCACGGACGAGATTGTCAGCCAGGCCGTTAACGGATGCTTCCGATCTTGCAAAGATGGGATAAGTGCCTTCCTCGTGTTGATCCGGGGTGGAAATTACACCGCGGGGCAAATGCGCTTGGTGAAGCTTCTGCAGGTTCACTTTGGAGCCGAAGCCTTCAGGTACCTGGTGGTGGTCTCTCTGGAAGACGCTAAGATGACGAACACGCTCGACGATACGCTGCTGGAGCTGATCGACGCCTGCGACGGACGCTACTGCCGTCTGACCACGTCGGAGGCCAGGGATAAAGTCAACGCCTTGGTTAGCATGGTAGACTACATGCTGGTGGAGAGCGGCGGCGCCGGCGGCTACAGCCAGGCCATGCTGGGCGAGGCCGAGCGCAGGAGCGCCGAGGACACGTCCATGAGGATGCTGAAGCAGAAGGTGCGCGAGGCCGAGGCAAAAATGCGGGCCTTCGGGCAGATGACGGCCCAGAGGGAGGAGAGAAGAGCCAAGGAGGTCGAAGAGCTGAGGGCCAAGCACGCCGAGGAGAGGCGCAAGGAGGCGGCTGAAAGGAGGAGCTACCAGGCCAAGAAGGAGACCCTGGAAGAGGCCGTGATCAGCCACCGGGCCACGCTGCACCTCCACAACAAGCCCGATGATGGTAAGAACCAATCAAGAAAACACATCCAAAAACCTTGCTAAAGACAGACCAATACTGTACCCGAAAGTCAAAGTGTTTTTTTTTCGTACTATTTACTATTCCACTCCAGTCCTACAGGTGGCAGTCATGCGCAGTACATGGGTGCCACTAAGTCTTGTCGTATATTAGGGAATATTCTACTCCAGTCCCGGAGTTGCTCTAGGTTGACGGTTGCGAAACATGTTATGGAATATCAAAATAACAAGCCGACCAAGCAATTAACCAGAAGAAACACTGTCGCATAGGAAGTAGTGCAGTCATCACAGAGGAAGGAAAACATTGGAAGTAATGACGTGGCACAGGAACTAGCATGGACGCACAGGAATTAACACAATCACACAAGAAGTAACAGGTAGTAACAGTTGTCTCACACAAGTAACAAAATCATCCAGGAAGGAGCACAGTTACGCAAGAACTAACACAGTCGCACAGGAAGTGACAAAAATGAAACTGGTTTTGTCTGTAGAGGACACAAACAAGCTATCCGTGGTGCTGCTGGGCCTGTCGGGCAGCGGCAAGACATCGGCCCTCAACCTCATCTCGGCGCGAGCGGGTAACCACTACCCCGACTCCGGCTCCGACGACGAGATCCCCCAGCCCACCCTGGCGTGCACTCGGCGGGAAGTCTGCGTGGCGGGCAGGAGGCTCGTCTTCGTGGACACCCCCGAGCTGTGGGACGGGGACGGTGTGGAGAACCCGGAGAAGGTAAAAGACTGCCTGGCTCTGGCTCTCCCGGGGCCTCACGTCTTCCTACTGGTGCTCCAGGTGGGCCGCTTCACACAGTGCGAGAGTCTAATGCCGGCACACCTGCAGAAGGTGTTCGGCAGGGACGCGTCAGAACGCGCCATGGTGCTGTTTGTCCACTTGGATCAGGGCCTGAAGCGGTCTCAGAGGGTCCACGAGTACGTGGCGGGGGCCCACGTCGCACTTCAGGAGCTGGTCCGTCGCTGCGGGAGCCGCTACTATGAGGTCAGCCTGGCCACCCCCCACAAGGGCCCGAGTTACCCCCAGGTCCGAGATCTCCTGGCGGGCATTGAGAAGCTGGCGGCATCCCACGGGGGACGAGGACACATCGTCAAGAGATTCTCGGCACAAGAGCTCCAGGACAGGAAGAAAGCCATGGAGGACAACAAAGACGCACCCTGGGAGGACAACTTCCTGCTCGCGGAGGAGTAAGTGCAGTTTTCGGAGCCACTCTGTGGCTTTGATTCGACTTTGCAGCAGGTGCGACCATTAAGAAACGAGACTGGCATGGGGCGGTACACCTGGCGAGAGCCTGAGTCCACCTTCCAAATCTTTGGATCGGACATGGTCCTCTCAAAGAATCAGTTTGAAATTCCTGCACTGAATTGGCACACGTCTTCAAGATCCCAACTTCCTTACGTATCAACACTTCCTGTCACAGATTGTCTTTGCTTATGTGGATCCACCTTTAGAGAACCGCACGACCTATACCAAAGGACCCCGATTTGGAAGACTTTAACAAAGGGGGATGGATGACATTGATGAGATAGGCCAGTACGACGCTACGATGACTGAATAAAATCTAGGTTGTTGATTTTGATTGCTTGTGGGGCTCCTTCCACAGCTTTACTTCTTCCACCAAGACAATCTTTATTCTCTCCATGGTCATCCGAGAAAAGCCTGTCTACCATCTTTTCCGAACAGCTTCCTGGACAGCACCAAGATGCTCCGTTTCTGTTTCTGGTGATCCAACAAAAGCTTGGGTAGTCTCTTTGTCGTACCTTTTCTGAATCGCCACGTTTTGCTCTTGGGCGGTCTTGTTCTCTTTCTGGTACCCCAAAAGCTTGGACACCATCTTTTGCCGGACCACTTCGGGATCCCCACTTCTTGGCCTGGTTTTACTGACCGCCGAAAAAAGCCCGGGTACCCTCTTTGCCATGCACCTTCCTTATTTCCTCTACTTACCAAGATGATTGGCACGACTGTTGCTTGAAGCCTCCCGGAAGATTTGAAACACTTCACCCTAACTTCAGCAAGAATTTCAAACCGTCTTAGTGGAAGACGTGGGGATCCAGACCATCACGCTAGAAGAACATAATCTGCAGAAAGATGCTTATTGGATTGGGCGGAGTCAAAGCGTCCGTCTAGTGGACAAACAGGGGCAAGGACATCAGTGTAACTGACTCCGACAGTCAACAACATTTTTGTGTTTTGAAATGGTGGTTCCTCTTTAATTGTCATTATGATGTCACTGATGGCGGTGCTCGTGATCCCCCCCTGCTTGCAAACACAACAAAGCAGCTCGCGAGCAGCCAGGGAAGAAGAGGAAACAATTTTCAATGCTTGTCTTCTACAACCTTGCTTTGGTATACCGTTATAATCTGCATGCAGTTGACATTTGTTGTCATTGCTGTGCTTTTTTTTTCTTTGCTTCTGTTGCCGATTATGTAAGTTTTAGCATTGCATCGTCACGTTTCGCTTCGGTATCCTCAAGCGTCGGGTTGAATGCCCATGACGCCATCGATCCACTCGGTGTAGTGCGAGATAATGGTGTAGATGCCCGGTTTCTTGATCTGGCCGCACTTTTTCCCTCCATTGGACGTGATGCCCACCACCACGCCATTGTAGAGAAGAGGACCACCGGAGTCGCCCTAAAAATACCGCAGACATTGTCAAAGTCAAATCAAACGTGAAGACTGTGGACTTCATTTTTTTTTTTTTTTTTTTTTTTTATGTGTGCAGATGTTTTGCTCTGAGCTTCACACTCCTCTGCTTTACTCTTATTTCCTCTGTCCTATTTTTTCATATTTTCATTTTGTTTAAAAAAAATGCAGTTAATGTGGATGAAAAGCCATCTTGGAATAAAGATTACGCTCCGGCAGAAAAGTATTTTTTTGCATGATATTATCGCCATATATGTCCGGCATCACTACTAGTATCACGATACTGGGAAGAAAACTATGTAGGATATTTTCGTCGTAATTTTCCAGCAATATCACAAGTATCACGATGCATTAGTTGAGCAATAATTAGACGTATTGGGAACAACATTAAGTGCATTTCTATTCCAGGAAAACTACTAGAAATATTTTTTTTGGGAGTAGTATCAATAATGGTATCACCACTATGCTGATTATCAC